TCAGGAGGACCTGAGTTCAAATCCGGCCTCAGACACGTAACACTTACTAGCTGTGTGATCCTGAGCAAGTCACTTAACCCCATTGTCTAGCAAAAAAAAAAAAAAAAAGGGGGGGATTATTTTCACAATAGCAGGATGTCACAGTCTACCTGGAAGTGATAGAAGAGACTTAATCTCAGTGATGCTCCAATCATTGTAACCCTCATTCACAATTTACAATCCCATTAAATAAGTCTTAAGAGAACTGATGTCCTACAGTTTCTGGTCACAAAATATTCCAATCTGGAAATTGGCGATCTTGACGGTGTATATTAAAGAACCACCGATGGGCTGGGTGGGGGCCAGGGCTGGGTTTCAGATGTCTTGTCCAAAGCCCCCTTCAGGCTACACTGGATTTGGGACTCCCACCACATGGGCCCAGAGGCTGCTTCCAACTCCCACGTTCTCTGACTCTGTGGCTCTACCTGGGCAGGAAAGAACCATTTTCACCACATCCCCAGTCATACCAGAGGATCCCTCAGCCCCTGACTTTCTGCCATGTTTGCCAAGCCCAGCCCTCAGCTCTTGGTCTATGCCAGCCCTCCCTTTCTCCCTTCCCACTCCCAGGCTACCATAGGTTGGTCACCACGATCACCACGCCATGATTCACTCTATGTTATGCTATTTACGTTGAAATGCAAGTGTCCCAGGCTGGTCAGCCATCTTCCTGCCACTGAAGGGGCAGGCAGCGGAGTCTATGAGCAAGATCTGAAGTCAAAAGGCCTAAATTTGAGTCTACTGTGACTTTGGCATAGCGCTTTACCTCTGAGAGGGTATTTCCTCAATTGTAACATGGGGCCAAAACTTAGGCATCATCAACCTTCACAGGTATATGTGGGTCTGTAGGTGAGGGTCAAAGGAGACTGTGGGAGGTTATTTGAAGGATGGGAGGGAAGACAGTTCAAACCTGTGATTTCATTAGTGCAGGAACTCCCAGTGTGGAAGCACCTTCTACCACTGCAGAGCAGCCTCTGCTCTGTAACTTGGAGTGAGAGCTACGCCAGGCCGCCTGGGATGCTGAGAGTTCAAGGATCTCCTCCAGCTTAAGTGAGCCTGAGATGCTCAGATGCTGGACTCCAACCCAGTCCTTCCTGACTCTGGGCCCAGCTTTCCAAGCACCGCAGCACCGTGAGGGAGAATGCAGCAATCCAAAGGCACAAAGTTCTCTCCCTATGCCGGCAGCCGTGGCTGTTCATTTCGTGCTCTTGCTGGTGATTTCCCCATAGTAACTGTTCTAACCTTTTTCTTCACTCTTCAAACACCTATGGCCACCCAGCCTTTTGGCAGATGATGGCAGCAGACTAGAAGTCTCTCAACTAGAATGCAGGCTTCTGGAGGGCAGAGATTTGTCTTCCTTCAGCTCGCTTGGCCTATATTAAATGCTTAAGAATAAACATTTAATAAATGTGTATCCATTCATTCTGTCTCTCCTGGCATCTTCAATTTTTCCTTTTCCTTTGAATCCTTCCCCTGAAGGCCTCCCCACTTCTTTCTTTCTTTTTTATTTAAATAAGTTTTTATTGATATCTTTGTTTTTTTTCTTCATATTACCATCATTTCTCCCAATACCCTTGCCCCTCTCAAAGAGCTATTCCACATAGCAAATAGCATTTAAAACTTTTTAATTTTTGTTTATTTTTTGCAAATGGCAATTTTTAAATGCTAAAAAAAAGAAAGAAAAGAAAAAGCAGAGAAAATCAGCATCATTGATCAATAAATTGAAAAACTCTGGAAATAAATGCAATGTTCAACACTTTGGAACTCCCATCTCCCATCTGGTTATCTTCTCATATTTCTTCCTTCAAGCCATGTTTGCTCTCAATAATGACGAAAATTTGACTTCTGATTTTTTGTGTGGTTGTTCTTTCCATTTCCATTGTTGTAGTCATTGTGTCTATTATTTCTTGACTCTGCTTAATTCATTTTGCTGATATCAGTTCATGTAGATCTGTTCATGCTTCTCTGTATTCCTCACATTTGTTATTTCTTACAGCACAGTCACCTTCCATTACATTCATGTCCACAATTTGTCCAGCCATTCTCCAATCAAGGAGTATTTACACGTTTCCAACTCTTTATCACCAAAAAAAAAAAAAATGTTGTTACAAATATTTTGGTGTCTCTAGGGACTTTCTTCTTATCAACCACATTCTGCTCTTATAAAAAACAACCAACTCATAAGAAAACAAAAACCAAAAAAAAACCTATGTTGGCTCTCAAAGCTACTGCCTTCTGTTTCTGTCACCACCAAGGTTTCCATAGGAGTAATCTCCATTTGATAATTTCACTTTTGCATCACCCACTCACATGCTTAGCTTCTTTTAAATCTAGCTCCCACGACCACTCTCCTGAAGGCCACAAAATGAGCCGACTCCTGTACTGACAGATGCAGAACCATCAGAGGCCATCCACTGTGACCAATTTCCCTTCCCATCCACTGGACAAGTGGTTCGCCAGTCTTTAGGTGAGGATGGTCATTGAGGGGTAGCTCACTACTCCCAGAGAAAGACCCTTCGACTTTGGACAGCTCCGTCAGGAAGGCTGTCCTGATACCAAGGTGTGCCTTTTAGTGACTTCCACCATTTGCCCTTGGTTCTATTATTTGGGGCCACACCGAACAAGTCTCGTGCTGTGTCTTTTATATGCCAGGCACTGTGCAAAGAACCTGAGACACAAAGAAAGCAAAAAGACAGCCCTTGCTTTCAGGAGCTGACAGTCTAATAGGGACATAACATGCAAACCTCTATGTACAAACCACAGACAGGACAAATTCCTCCTCTGTGAAATACTTCAGAATGGATATCAGATGCCCCCAAACCCTCTCTTCTCTGAGCTTAAGACTTCTTTTCAGATGGCATGTTCTTGAGATGGCATGGCTGAGTAGCAAAGAGGGCTGAATTTGGAGCTCAAGGACCTGAGACAACAAGCTTACTAATTGTGTGACCTTGGGTAAGTCACTTAGTCCAACGGGGTGTCAGTTTTCTCATTTGTAAAATGAGGGCATTAGACTAGACAACCTCTAAGTTTTCTTCACCATTCTGGTGCCCTCTGTAGGATGTTCCCCATCTCATTAATGTCTTTTCTAAAATGCAGTGTGTAGTGATAGCTTTCCGTCAACCTCCATCAGCCCTAATCCTTTCTGAAGCTGATGACGCCGCTGGGTTATCCTCTCCAGTATCAGCCCTCTCTCCCCCAGCTCATCTTGGCTTTGCCCAGGAACTTTCTGTCATCTCTCTGATGGGCCCAGTTCTGTCTCCTCTGCCCACACTCCCTAAATGTGGGTTTCCCCTAAGGCTCCGTCCCTAGAGCTTTTCCCTACATTTGTCATCCACAACCACAGCGTTCCCTGGCACTTCTGTAGCAGTAACGTCCCTGCCGATACAGCTGACAAGCCTGCGTCTCCAGCTTCAACCTCGACATCTCTACGTCTCTGGTCTAGATCAGCTTCACAGGAATGAGATGGGGGAAATCTGGCCAGAGGGCAGTTCTCCGAAAAAGACTGAAAGCTACTTACGAATTAACAAGGGGATATGGAATTCCATCATTTGCTTGTTTTTAAAGAAAAAATTCAATCTTATGGCATCCTAGAAAAAGGAGGTGATTGCTGTGGGCAGATGACCGTGGGATTATTGTCTTCAGTCCTAAGTAGGACATTTTAGGAAGGGCATTGCTAAGCTGGGGGCTTGTAGCCCCATAGAACGAATGCCTTTATTGAAATCCTCTACCACACACCTGCCAAGTCAGCAAGACTGTTACTCTAGCAGTGTCTAAGGGGAATTCACCACCTCTGCAGGCAGGGTTTTTTTGTCCCCACCCCACCCCCCACTTCTGAAAGAAGTAAAATTGAAAATTTTAGGACTTAGCCCTTAATGATCAGATTCACAAATCAAGCCTGCAGAGAGCACCGAACAGAGGAGGGGAATGAGGTGGAAAGGGAGAAGACACATTCCCAAGGTCATGGGAAAAGTGGAAGACAACGGCAGATCCCACGCCAGAACCCGGGTCCGAGAGCAGAGCTCCCCTCCTTCCTTGAGGTCCGGGAATCCCCGGTGCCCCCGCAGACCCTGCCCTGGAGCCACCTCGCAGGTGCTGCCCATCTCAGCTGCAGGGAACGCAGGCTCCAGAAAACAAGCTTGGACTGTCTCCCCACCGGGGCATCGCGGGGCTGCGGAGCTCGGAGGGGCGCCCCGGGGAGCCTGGGCACCTGGGGGCTGCGTGGGCCCCCCGACGGCCACGCGCCGACAGCCTGCCCCGCACCCGGGTAAGCGGGGCCACCGCCTCGGGGCGCCCTCCCAGAGTGCAGGCGACTCGGGCTGTTGGCCTCCAGGACTTCGCGCGCACCGAGCGCAGCTGGCACGACTTCGTTTTACGGAGGGGGAAACTGAGGCCCACTTCCTGCAGGGCCCATGCCCATGTGCCGGGGGGGGGGGCTTCGGCCCGCGGCGCCGCGCTGCCTCCCAGCAGCCAAGGCGGGAACCGCAGCATCCTTCGAGCCCCTGGGTCTGGCGGGCTCCGGGTCACAGCTGCGCTCCCGACCGTACCAAGATGGCGCCGGAGGAGGGGCGGCACGTCCGCCGCGGTGACGCAAGCAAGAGGGGCGGGGCCGGGGCAGAGCCCGGGGGCGGGGCCTGGGAGGGCGGGGCGAGAGGGGCGGGGCGAGGGGGGCGGGGCGGGAGGGGCGGGGCCGGAGGGCGCGGCTGTCAGGCTGCCTGGAGGTGGCCGGGCGGGGACGCAGTTCCCGGGGTGGCTTGTCGGCGGCGGCGGCAGGAGCAGCCTCGGCGGCGGCGGCCCCGAGATCGCGGGCGGGCGGGCGGAGGAGCCGGGGAAGCCCCCGAGGCGGCGGACGCGCGCGGCCCCTGCCCCCCCCCCCCCCCCCCCCCCCCCCCGCTGCGCGCGCCCGCCGCCTCACCTGCGGCCGCCTGGAGCCCGCGCGCAGCCCGCAGCCCGCAGCCCGCACCCCGCGGGGCCCGCCGCCATGAGCGGCGCGGGCGGCTCCCACATCACCTACGCCAGCCGCAAGCGGAGGAAGCCGGTGCAGAAAACGTAAGCGCCCTGCCCACCCGGGGCGGTGTAGACGCGGCCGCTGCGACTCCGAGGCCGGGGCTGCCGTGCTTGCCGCCCCCTGCTAGGACGCCCGGCCGCATGCCTCGGGCCTCGGTTTCCTGCCCTGTAAAGCGAAGGAGCCCGGGACCCCGTGCCTCCCCCGCCCGGCCCCTCGGAGGCTCGTGCCCCGCACACTCACGCACACCCTTACACACTCACGTACACGCAAACCCACTTGCTCACGGTTACACACTCACGCGCTCACACTTCCACGCACACGCTCACACACATGCACACGCACACACGCTCTGGGGGCTCGTGCTGGTCCCCTGGCCCAGGGAGTGAAGGGCCCCCTGGCAGCGGCGCCACCCGGCTCCCGGGCCCGGGTCAGCCCCCAGCCCTTGACCGCTCGGCCACGCGGGCCCGAGTTTCTTGGGGCGGCCGGCGAGGGGCTTCAGGGGGCGGGGGAGGGGGAGGCAGGAGCCCAGAGCTGTCCAGCCGGGCCCGCGGGTCGCTCCTGGAGGCTCCTGGCGCTCCCCTTAGCGTCCGCTTTCCCAGGACAGGTTTAACCTTCGCGGGTGGGTGTCCCAGGTGGACCTAGGTGCAGGAGTCCCCTCCAGCCTCCCTGTTTATTCATTGGCACCGAAATAAAGGCCAGGAAAGCGGCTCACTGACCTAGCTGTTTGATCTTTTTGCAGAAAACTATGTCTAGGCTAGCATCCCCTGCCCCTTTTAATGGAAATACTCTTTGTCACTGTTAAATCCCCAAACTTTGAATATAGTTGTATGTGTTTTTTTTTCTTTTCCTGAACTTGAGAATTTCTCAGGAGCTTTCTGTTCAGAGTACAAAATAACAGCTGTCTTCATGTGTGATTTTTGAAAATGGTGATTTTAGAGTTGTGAGGAATTCTCAGTAGGAAACTCTCTCCACCAGTGCGGATCTCTAACTCATTGTAATTTGTAGGCTTGGAGAGTCAGCTGCATTACTGTGAAGTTGTGATTTGCCCTTGAGATCTCAGCTCCTGTTTATGAGAGAGTGACTTCAAAGTCTGTCTTCCTGAGTTCAAGTGTGGCCGTCTGTCCACTGCCACAGTTTGGGTGGTTCAAGTATACAGATGCAGGAAAGTTTTTAAAACACAAGTCTCTCTTATATCTAAAATTCATTCTTAGAGTTAGCTGTTTTCCTGTATTTTCATTTGTTGTTATTAATATATTTAATTCACCTTTGCTTTCAAGTATTGATAAGCAGGATTACAATGGATTTCGCAACTATACTCTGTAAAATTGGAAGTATTCCTCATGCATAAACATTCAAAAATAGTTGCATGCCAATTATGTTTGAAGTAGCTAGAATTAATTAATTTGAAGAAAGTTTCTTTAAATGTGAAATAGCTCATTTAAGTTTTCGAGTTTTCCTCTTTGGTCTCAGTGATCTTACTTCTTTAGAGTTAAGTCTGAAAAACCTAAATTGACATTAACGTATGAACTCCATAGTTGTACCATAAATAGACACTAATTAAAATAGCATGTACCAACTTTGACAGCAGCATCTTTAGACAGTGTGCATTATGTGGGGTTTTTAGCTGAGTCTGGGATTTCCTGCCTGCACTGGAAGTATTGTGAGCTGGTGACTTGTAGAGTAGCTGCATTGATAACTCAAACAAAACCAAACACTTTACATCTTATAAGACACTTTGTATTTAAAAATGTATTTGTGGAGTTTAGGTTTTGCTTAGGACACTTAAAATATTGGTATGTGCACAATTCGTGTTCATATGTTTATGAATAGAGTAGATGGAAAGTGCGGAAGTATTCTAGATTCCATAGATCCTTTGGTTGTTCTTCTGTGTGTCAGATCACAGGATTATGCTGCTAAAGTCATCTTTAATAAGATATTGATTCTTTTAGGCAGCTTTTTAAAAATATATAATTCCTTGTGTTTTTCACTGAGTTCTGCAAGTCATCTTAGACAAAGTGACATTTTAATATTTTCTTTGTTATCCCATCTGAGAGGCAGAGTTAGTTCTGAAGTTATGAGAAACTTCTGTTTAATCCTGAAAGGAAAGCATAGGTATTGAAAACTCTGTCATCTTTGTCCGGTGTAGATCATGTTCTGTATTTCACATCCCAGATAGGACAAGTGAGATGCAATGAAGAATGGAATGAATTAGGACTTTTTGCCCACTTCACCTCTCCTTTTCTCCAACTTCTCTGTTGTTACTAAGGGATGGTTCGCAGTCATCCAGTCTCTACTAACACGAATACCTTCAGGCCGACCGTTGCATGTGATCCACTTGGGCAGTGGGAAGAACAGGGCCCTGGTATGCAGGGGACCCGTTGGGCTGCAGGAACAGGGTCTGGGTGCTGGGGATGCTCTGAGAAAAGCCACCAGTCAAAGTCAGTGTTCTTCAGTGTCCAGTTCACATTTTGAGGGAGGTGGGAGTTGGGGGGGGGGGAGAAGGTAATCATCATTTCATTGACTTTATTCTCATTTTAAAGATGAATATAAATCATCAGATAATTAAAAACTAGAAGAGGATGAAGCTTACCCTGCACTAGAATTCTTGGGGGGGAAATCCTAAAGCTTGGCCCGAGAACTCTCTGGTCAGTTTGGTTTCAGTGCATTAAGCACTGAAGTCTTGAACTCAGAAATCTTTTCCCCGAGTCTTTCTTTCTCAGGGTACCAGAGTTTTGCGGTTGGTGGATGGATGGATCTGTCCAGTCTTGTAGGACCTTACATCGAACTCCACTAAGAACATGAGCAAGTTTGGGAACTCATTTTTTTTTGGTAGAAGTTTAATGACTTTGAATATACGGCACTTCTCATTTTAATATACTTCTAGTGAAAACGTTTTGTTGCCTTGCTTTTGGCTGCCTTTTTAATAGAAAAAAGCGAATAGGAATTTTCATTAAAGTGTGGACTCAACCTGGGACCTTCCCAGCCGTCTTGGTGTAGTAGAAAAAGCTCTGGATTTGGAATTGGTGGGGAGGGGGTGGAATTCTGGCCCTGCCCCTGTTCCATGCAAAGTAGAGGTGATCCCTGATCTCCAGGGACCCTCTCCCTCAGCTCCTAATCTCCTGACATGTGCCGCCTGCTGCAGGCACTGCACGGTTTCAGCTCCCCCCAGTGGCCAGCATAGAAGCCACATCCCGAGCCCCTGTCTGCCTCTGCTCTGTTGGGCAAAGTGCTGCCAGAGTGTTCATTGGTTTCTTGGCCGTCAGAGCCGGGGAACCCTAGCGCCTCGCTCAGTGCAGAGAGACCTTGAAGAATTGGGTGCATCCCCTGCCTTCAGGATGAGTGCCTGCCTGAGCCATCTGGGTCACATCAGAATCTATTCTTAGAGTGGGCCAGAGGAGTTTCTACTGTAGCCTCCCTTGACAACCCATTCCAGTGTTTGATAACAGCGTTTCTGCTCCCTAGTAGAAAATGCATCCTTTTATGTAGCCAGCCCCACATGTCTGTGTGCAAACCCATTTTCTGAGTGCTAGCACATTTATTATGGTGCTTGAAGCTTTACAATGCACTTTCCTCTCATTGGGGAGGATAGCGTTGAGCCCAAAGCACAAGATTTCTTGTCAGAGGACCTAGGTTGTAAGGTTGCCCCTGCCCTGTGCCATAGAACTGGCAAAGTGTCTCCCCCGAGGCCTCATCCTCCTCATCTGTAAAAGTCACCAGGGGATTTATGAGGTTCCACATCTGACCTCTAGGGCCCAGGCGGTGCAAACGTCCTCTGCTTCACTTATCCCACTGGGGAAACTGAGGCTCGGAGAGAGGCTGAGTGACTTGCCCTGGATCACACAGATGTCACAGCCAGGATTCCACCCCAGGCTCTGCCTGATGTCCAAACCATCCCCTCTCCACTCACCATAGCCACTCTTATTCTGTCTTTATTAGTGGAAGAAAAAGGGGCTATGTTTTTTTTCTTTTGATGAGGCAGTTATACCGACCATTAGCCTATTACTAAATTTAGATTCTCCAACCTTTTTGTTTCAGTAATACTTTTATAATTATCTCCGGATATGTGAGGTTTTAGGATTGGAGAAGGATTTGAAGAAGTCATTGAAGCCTATTACGAGAAAGACAAGGCACGGTATTGAGAGTCTCACATTATTGCTATTTTTAGTATCAGAAAATAGGTAAAATAAATCTGTGATTTGTTGTCATTTGCTCCTTGTTTGTATTTTTCAAAAAAAAGATTCAGTTATATTCCTTTGTAGATCTTCTGTGAGTTCTGGGTGAACATTTATCTAGGGAAGATTCACCTTTTGTCTAGGATTAAATTAGACAGCGAGATTGGGTTAAAATAAGGATGTTGCCACATGTCTTTTGGTGAAATCTGATCACAGCTGTGACATTTGAAATTGTGTTTCTTTGCCAGAGCGCTCCTGTGGCTCAGACCTCAGAGTAGAGGGGGCATCGGAAGCATCGGTAATTCCAGGCACTTTAACTAAAGTCTTGAACCTGAGCTGTTGCTTCTGCTTTCCCCAATTTCGTTTCAGATGATTTTATGAAACAAGCATGCAAAGGGCTATGGATGATTTCCTTGAAAAATTAGGCATACGAGAAAAAGTTCTGCTTAACTGTGAATTTACCCATTGGAAAAAAGAAAAAAAAGAACCCTATGAACAAATAAAAATAATTACCGTCTTCATCCTTTCTTAGTGGGAGCTTCTTACCAGAAGACAGTAATTGTTTATTAGATCACCATTTCCCCAGTCCAGTATGAACTGCTGTAGAGGCGTGCCAAGTGTTTGCTACAGCCAGGCGGTCCTCCTTCCAGGGGCTCTTGGGGCCATCGCCAGGCTTATTGGTGTGGAGACATTGGGCAGGCATCATAGTCCCATCTCTTGAAGCCTAGCGAGGTGAGGCATTTGCCCAAGGCCGCACAGGAAGTAAGTCAAGTGGAAGAGCCACGATTAGAATCCAGATCCTCTGTCTCCAATTCCAAGGCTTTTAGATACAGACAAAAATGAAAAGGTGGCACACTGGATAGAGCGCC